GTCGTTTTTTTTCGGCTAAAAACGCCATACGATACATGGTCGTTGTTTTCGGCTAAAAACGCCTTAATATACATGGTCGTTATTTTCGGTTAAAAACGGCTTACTATACATGGTCGGTTTTTTTCAGCTAAAAACGCCTAATTATACATGGTCGTTATTTTCGGCTCAAAACGCCTTAGTATACATGGTCTTTATTTTCCGCTAAAAACGCCTTACTATACATGGTTGTTTTTTTTTTTGGGCTAAAAACGCCTTACTATATACATAGTCGTTATTTTCGGCTCAAAACGCCTTACTATATATACATGGTCATTATTTTCCGCTAAAAACGCCTTACGATACATGGTTGTTTTTTTTGGCTAAAAACGCCTTACTATCCATGGTCGTTATTTTCGGCTAAAAACGCCTTCCTATACATGGTCATTTTTTTCGGGTTAAAAAGGCCTTACTATCCATGGTCGTTTTTTTCGGCTAAAAACGCCTTACTATACATCAGGGGTGTATAACATACGGCTGGAACCGGCCCGCAAGGAGGTTTGATCAGGCCCGCAGGATAATTTATAAGTGAAAAAATGCACAAAAGACACGGAATAAATATTTTTAATCAGGTGCAATTCATGGAATATCCGCCTGGGGAACACACTGTTTTTATCAGAGGAAAAGACAACATTGTTTTGATCAGAGAAGAAGACAACAGCAGCTTCAGTCTGTCACTGAGACAGACCCAACACAGCAGACGCTATCAAGGACATCTGAATACTTTATTCTTTACACATATAGAACTCTCCTTAGTTTGTAAGGTGTAGGCAGGGATTACATTTAGATTTTATATGCTCATGTAAATGGTTTAAAAATTCCTTTCTTTATAAATCTCGTTTAATCTTAAAAGTTCATTACTATATTTTTCAAGACCAATTACCGGCACTTGTTAAGGTTTGGTGCCTTTGTACAATCAGTGGGATCAGTTGCAATGCATATATGTGAATGATAAAAGTAAATTGCACATTTGTTTAAGGAAATCTTAGGTGCTTCATGAAACATTTTCCTAGTGTTCTTGTGCATCTTTTGACCAAAACAAAGGAGACATATTATTTTGGTTATTTATAGTAGAGTATGGTGTAATTTTTAATGGTCTGGCCCACTTGACATCTACCGAGGCCATATGTGGCCCACAATGTGAAATGAGTTTGACACCCCTGGACAAGAAAGCAAAATGACAAAACGACACGATCTCTTTGTGCAACTCGTCTTCAATCGAAAACGAAGTTGGCTTTGCAAACTCTCTCCTGATCTCAGGATGGCATTCTGAAGGCAGGCAGTAGGAAATACTGGCATGGTCGATTGGTTGTGGGTGAGGTTGGAGTGCCGTCACATCGCCCACGAGAGACGCCAACCGTCTCACCAATTATGTTCTTTTTTTTAACCTTCAAAACCTCTTGT